GTTGGTTATACCGTTTGGACTCACTAATGCACCGAACACTTTTATGCATCTGATAAATCATGTTTTGCGTGCTTATATAGGAAAATTTGTTGTGGTTTATTTTGGTAACATTTTAATCTATAGCAAAAACTTAATGAGCATGTGGAACACTTGAGATGTGTGCTTTTAATGTTGAGGAAAGAACAACTGTACGCTAATTTTAAGAAATTTACATTTTGTACGCAAAAAAGTTGTCTTTCTAGGTTTTGTGGTTAGTACTAAAGGGGTAGAAGTAGATGAGGAAACGATTAAAGCTATTAAAGATTGGCCTACACCTAAAACTATAACGGAGGTTAGGAGTTTTCAAGGTTTGGCTAGTTTTGTTAGGCAGTTTGTAAAAGATTTTAGCACAATCACTACACCACTTACTGAAGTAGTTAAAAAAAGTGTGGGTTTTCATTGGGGCGATGAATAGGAGCATGCATTTAATACTATTAAGGACAAAATGTGTAAAGCACCTGTTTTAACATTACCTAATTTTAACAAAACTTTCAAAATTGAGTGTGATGTATCAAGAATAGGTATTGGAGCCATTTTAATGCAAGAAAGGAGACCGATAGCCTATTTCAGTGAAAAGCTGATTAGGGCTGCACTAAACTACCGAACATATGACAAAGAGTTATACTCTCTTATTCAGGCATTGGAGACATGACAGCACTACTTGTGGCTGAAGGAGTTCGTTATCCACACCGATCATGAATCATTGAAGCACTTGAGGGTCAAGGAAAGTTGAACAAGAGGCATGCTAGATAGATGGAGGTCATTGGGACATTTTCGTATGCCATCAAGTACAAGAAAGGTAAACAAAACCTACTGGCGGATGTGTTATCTTGAAGGTGTACCTTAATTACTTCATTAAGAGCTAGATTGCTTGATTTTGAACATATTAGATTTTTCCAATATTTATAAATCATGTGACAAAGGGGTTGTTGATAAGTTCTTGAGGCAGAGGGTTATTTGTTTCAGGAAAATAGGTTATGTGTTCCTAATTGTTCAATGCAAGAGTTATTGGTGAGATAAGCATATAGTGGTAGACTAATAGGACATTTTAGGGTACAAAAGGCTTTGGAGATGTTAGGGGAGCATTTCTATTGGCCTAAGATGAAAGTTGATGTTGGGAAAATTTATAATCGATGCATAACTTGTAAAAGAGTTAAGTCTAAAGTTTTATCTCAAGGATTATTCACACCATTACCTACACCTAGTGAACTTTATGTTGACATTTTCATGGATTTTGTTTTGGGCTTACCTAGGAGTAAGAAAGGACGGGATTCAATTTTTGTGGTGGTAGATAGGTTTAGAACAATGGCACAATTTATACCATGTCACAAAACCGATGACGCCACACACATAGCTGATTTGTTCTTTAAAGAGTTTGTGCATTTGCATGGGTTCCAAAGAGTATAGTGTCAGATAGGGACATGAAGTTCTTGAGTCATTTTTGGCGAGTTTTGTGGGATAAGCTAGGAATAAATTTGTCATTTTCTACAACTTGTCACCCACAAACCGATAGGCAAACTGAGATAGTCAATAGGACTATGATTCAACTTTTGCGCACTGTGATTAATAAGAACTTGAAGAATTGGGAAGAGTGTTTACCTTTCGTTGAATTTGCTTATAATCGTGTTGTTTATTCTACTACTTCATTTTCACATTTTGAAGTTGTTTATGGTTTTAATCCCACCAACCCTATTGGATTTAATTCAAGATAATTTTTGAGGACAAAAATATTTTAAGTAGGATAAAAGTTTATGGTTGTAACCCAATTGTTTATGGTTGTAACCCCATTGTTTAATCCCACTAACCCCATTGTTTATGGTTCTAACGCCCCGAAAATTTTAGAATAAAAGTTTATTTGTTTTATATGAGTACTACAATGAAACGGGTTTTAATTACTATTTTAATTGGGGGAAATGATTAAGTATCGATACAATGAGATTTTATATATCGATGTTGGGCTCATTATGTAGCTCGTATTAAATGACGTACATTGGACTCGAGAAATATTTATTTCGAATAAGTTATGTCCATGTTATTGAGGTTGAAAGGCATTACCTAAATTTATAATTAATTATGTTATTAATCATTTTAAACCTTCCATTCCCACTCCTTTCCCACGTTAGCTATTTTGTTGGAAGAAGAGAAATGTACTTCTTAATTGGCCATGATTTGATGGAGAGAAAGTAGCCTTTCTTTTAGGGGATTGAATTACCTATTATAGATCGGGCAATTTTCTTGGCATAGATAAAGGTGATTTTATTTTTAAAATAATTTATATGCTTTGATTTTGGGGTGTGATTGACACGTGTAGGAGTAACTTATGTTTTGATTTTGAGGTGTATGGTTAAGCTAAAATTTTGTTTTAAATAGTTTCCCACTTTCACACGTTTCCTACCAATCACCATTTCTGTAGTCTTTAGGTTATTATTCCATGTGTATATATAGGCGTATGACAGGATAGAGGATACGCACAAAATATTTAGGGCTTATTTGAGCCCGATTTTTTCATCCAAAAAATTAATTTTTTGACCGTTATTTCACTATTTCAGTTGTCATATTTGACTTCTTCTCTCACAGGTGAACCCCACTTTTCTTCTAACGGTCAAAAAATCAATTCTCAAAATCACTCCCAAACAGGTTCTTATACATGCACGGTACAAAGCTGAAGCAAGGAAATAGTTTGGATCGTGATTATGGGTTTTCACCTTTCAAAAAAATATTTATTCAATCTTACAAGATAGTATTACGAGGTGCAAGTGGTTAGTCCCGTATAATTTATTTCTTCATGTTGATAAATGTTATACTCATGAAAGTTATGATATGATTACGATATGATATGACATGGTCATCCGGTACCAAAGATATGATATGTATTGAGCTATTACCGGAATATAAAGATATGATACAACGGTATGATTATTTTGATAAATGATTTAATATTTTATTCGGGATCGCACCATTGTTCTTATCCTACTGAGTATTCTCATATATTCACTCATTTCCCTACCATTTCAGGATTGAATGGGTCGTTGGTTGGCGGGGTGATGAGATGCAGTCGTGGTGCCAATATATTTGAAAATAAATTAAATCCGGTGTAGTGTAATTATAAATTTTATTTCCAGTTTCTACTCTAGTTGTGTCTATTAATGAGTCGATATCTTGATTATAGAATGCGATATGAATTAAAATTTACTTTTTTTTTTTTTTTTGAATTGCTCGTTTTAAAAAAAATAAACTTCTTGGTGACAACTCAAATTTATTTTATTGTAAATTTTGGGTCGTTATAGAAGAGTGTAGCAGTATAGATGGTAAAAGAAAAGCAGAATTGGTTAAATCACTGCATGAAAAGTTAAGGTTGCAGATTGAAAACAAAAGTAAACTTGTTGCATCGCAGGCAAACAAATGTAGGAAAAGGGTAATATTCGAACCTGGAGATTGGGTTTGGTTACATTTCAGAAAGAAACGCTTTCTAGAGCAAAGAAAGACAAAATTACAACCACGGGGAGAAGTCAATTTCAAGTTATTGAGAAGATCAACGACAATACTTACTTGTTGGACTTACCAAGTGAGTATAATGTTTCGACAACTTTTAATGTAGATCCTTTGAAGAGGAAGAGGATGATGTGATCCAAAAGCCAAGCTTGAAGACGGCAAATTCGAGACGAGACCCATTGGTAATCGAAGGCGGACCGATGACGCGATCGAGGGCAAAGCAAGTGAAACAAGAGATGAGATACTAGTTCAATCAACCATTAATGGATGATGTTCGGGACGCAAAATGAGGCAGCTTTCATGTTCGGGTCGAGAGTCGAGTCGAAGTGGATCGATTGGATTTTATAATTTCATTGCTTTTAAAACTTATATTCTATATTTAGTATAAATATAAGTTCATTTCCCACATTGTATTTTACCTTACATTATTTGAAAATTTTAATAAGAGAGGCAAATTGCTTTCTTTACATCGTTCTTCATTAAACAATTAGAATTTTTCAAGAATTACAATCTAGTGACATTCTACCATTTGGGTGCGGATCTTAATCGTGTAATCAATGGGTCTTTCAAACTTCGATCTTATTGGATTTTTTGGTTTATTGATTTAGGTTTAAACTCTCAAACTTTTTAATTGGCTTTTATGGAGTTCTAACAATCTAGTTGTGGGTTTCATAGTCAACGTTGTTACGGGATTGCATCACTTTGGGATTACAATTTGTTGTTTGAAAATTGATTATTGAAGTGAACATTATAAACTAACAATTTCTTGAGGATACAAAGCTGCATCTTCTTCAAATTGACCGTTTCATATGCCTGGTAGAAGGTAGTAATTCGATCATTTTATTATTCTTCACGTGTTTTTCATCATGATATTTAGGCTCGAAAGCTTAGCGTTCTGCTCAACTGCGATTCTTAATATCCCTGATCCAATGTAACTAGTTATAATTTCAAAATTTTGATAAATAGGAGGTCACTGCTTTAGTATTTATGCTTCCATTTGAGTGCCCATCCAATCATTGCAAAGCAGATCTAGTGAAAGGGAACCTTGTTCCCCAAGTCAGAGCATTTTAGTTTTTGAAATTTCAGGAGGCTTTGTCTTTAATTCTTTATAACGATTATTTAAGACGAAATACCATTTGCACATAGGAGTTCCATTTACGTGAACTTAACATTGATTTCAGGCCAAAATTCAAGAGCTACCTGAACATGTTTCGAAAGCTCACATTCCTCGATCAATGTCTGTTCATCTTAGAGGAGAACTCACCAGAAACGTTGGGGATATGTGACTTTTCTAATTTCTGTCTAGAGGAACCATCTTATATTTTACATGTATAGCTACAAAATTCTTGTTCATATCATTTTTGGGGATCGACTGGATTCTTTGTTATGCTGTATATTCTTTTTAAAGCATTGATTTATTAAAATGCATATTTCCAAAATGCAAAACTTGTCATTTTTTGAAAACTCTATTATATCAGAGCTAATTTTAAAATGAGGAATAGTGGACTATCCAGTTACTGTTTTATTTTTCAGAAAGCGTGATTTTCTTGTCACCTGCTTTTGATGGTTTTCCAATACTCATTACTGCTCCTTTACATGTTAATTGCGTCCTAAACGTGCAATATAGCAATTGAAAGCTTGTAGTTACAGACAACTCGTAGGAAATAAACTCGTATGTTTTGCATCATCTACCTTTTTAATATGAGATGTACTGCTTTTTATATGTTCCTCTTCGACTAAAGTTGTGAACCATTTTTTTTTTTTTTTTTACAGAAATCCTCATTTAACCAAATAACAAATTGAGTGTGAGCTGAAAGTATGTATTAGAGCCAAGAAGGTTATTTGCTGGTCCCGTTAATTATTTGTTATTTCTTTAGTCTTTGTAATTTTATTTTCTTCTTTTTAGGTATGGTGAACCACACTAAGCAAATCGACCATGACATTACTTGTATATAATTTTTTTTTTTTTTGGGGTTTTGGAGTTAACCAAATTTGTAAATAATACTTTGGTCTTAATCTATTTGGTTGACAATAACATAAATTTTTTTAATATATTTTGAAATCATTAAAATTTTAGTAATTGTACATTGAAGTATTCATTTCACAAAGTCATGAATTGTTTTTATTGAAGTATGTTGCATTTTCAAATTAATGTGTACTGTAGTTGCAATTCTTTTGCGATGGAAGAAATGGAAAATTATTTGTTTATAATAGAATCCACGACATACATAAGTAAAGACAAAATAAATTAGACAACAATTCTATGTCATTGATCTATTAGAATTTATTATGCAACTACGAGAATATTTTGTTGTAAAATAGAATAAGTAACAAAAGTTACACTTTTAAATAATATTCGCAACAAATACTTTTTTTGCAGAAATTTTATTAGAATAGTTGTTGTGACTAACTGGCAAGTCGCCCTTTTAATTTTTTGCGACGAATATGTGTTGCAACGACAAATTGATCACAAATATCTTGTTGCTGTTTCATATTTTTGCATCAAACAAATGGTGTTACAAGTTTATTGATGCGATGAATTAGCAAAAGTTGTCACCCAATACATTCTGTGACTCATATAGTACGACAATACTTGCAACAAACGTTTTGTTGTCGTTAAATTACCTTTCCAACAACAGTTTTTTTTTTTTGTTGGGAAATCAGTTATTCTTTGTAGTGACTGAAAATAATATAAGTAGTACAAGTCATCATCTTGAAGTTGAATGTGAAAGATGCTGATTGTTCATTCTACTTCGAATTTCACTTTGTTCGATAGAAATTCAAATTCAAATTTTAATTAAGTCAAATTCAACAATTAATTTTAATCACATATTTCAAGGGATCCACAGTTTTTCAACCTTTTTATCGATTTTTATCAAAATCTATTAAAAATCTGATTTTAATTTCCAACTAACATAGACTTTATAGCCTCATTGACATAAAGGGTTTGCAAGTCTTGAACAAGTACAATTATGACATGTTTTTAGGGTGCAACGGACGGTATAAAAGTGGACACCGTGATTTCTTATGTGTGTATGACTAGTTTTTGTCTCAAGCATGACTCCTCTTACCTAGACACTTCAGTCACTACAAAAAAAAAAAAAAGGCCTTTTGCAGCAATCAAAAAACGTTGCTTATTACCTTCTACAGAGTTCACGAGTATGTTGAAAGATGCAATGTTGCTGTAGAGTCTTGAGATACCGGCAACGTTCCTTGACCGTTGAAAAGGCCCTGAAGAACGTTGCCTTTTGCTTTATGCAACGTTCGACAAATGTTGCAAAAAACCTTTTAGCAATGTTCACTGAATGTTGCAAAAAACTATTTACCAACGTTCAGTGTGCGTTGCTAAAAGGTTTTTTGCAACACTAGCCGAAGGTTGCTAAAAGTTTTTTTGCTACATTTGCCGATCTTTGCTAAAAGGTTTTTTTTACAACACTCGTCGAAAGTTGCGGTAATTGTTTTGGCAACGTTTAATGACCACTGCAAATATTTTTTATCCTTATTTTTGGCAACATTCTTCGACCATTGCCGTAGGTTAATTTACCTTCTTTTTTAATTTTATATATTTTTTTTAATTCTGTATAACAAATTTCAAAAAACCAACAAAACTAAAAATATTTTTTGGGCCTGGAATTTGATAATAATTTCATTACTCCATAAAAATAAACATAAAACCCGCATCATTGCCATAAAGATAAGTATTGTAATTCATCTCACAATTACAATATATGGATTTGATATGAGTTGTAGAAAACTTAAATCTTGATTGCAAAATAAGGTCATGAATCTCTAGCTTGGCCATGTGACAATTGATTAGTTGAGCTTGGAAACTTTACAAAGGGCTTTCACCAAGTTTTACAAAAAAGAAAGCCCGGGAGATAGTATTCACAAACTGCTTCATCCCTGAAACAATTCATAAATACCTTCATATATTCCATTTGATTCTGTAAACTATATCAAATTTAATCATTTCGAAGGAAAATAATCGAACTTCAAAGACATTAACACAAAAAATGCAAATCGTCTTAGATGCTAAAATTCTAGGACTTTCACGAAGTTTTTTTTGTTTGGGATCGAGTCTTGAAATGAATTATTATACGTACAAAAGCAACCAGTTGCACCATATGCTAAAACATATAAGGAAAATTTGGAAATTCATGTTTATTATGTTCTCAAGGCCTGATGCATAATGAATTAGATGAGGGACTCATAAAAATAACACTAATGAAATGTACATAGACTATATCCCATAAGCCTAAGCTAACTTCAAACATTTCTTATCATCTGAGCTCCATATTAAGCTATTTTAAAGATTCAAATAAGAAGTTGATGCCCCTAAGTATGTGATCATATTAATCAACAAAGTCGTACTTGCCAAAGGGAAATTATAGTGGAACACATTCTGTGAAATGCATTTGTAGCCTGCAGTATCATTTATTTAGCAGATTCGTAATTTTAGAGGCCTACATCTGTCATGTAAGAGATTTTTTTTCCTCGATTTATGTGCTCGATGCCAAGGATGCCATTCGGAATGGCAATGTTCACAAAATAAATTATTTCAATTTAAATCATCGCAAATAAACGGTTCGTTAACAAATAATAAAGTGGAATGTTGAGTTTTGAATATCATCTCACAGAGATTGATTTAGTTCAATTTTACTTATCTGGACCTTAACCGAAATAAGAGAATATTATGTGTGTTCTGATGAAAATTAGAACTAAACTAAATGACGTTTCAATTATGAATGACTTAAATGAAACTTAATGCAAATCATGTTTGAATGCAAATGGATGTATCCAATGAATGACAAATGTACTAGGATCGCGAATTCCAATGAAATAATCCTTTTTAAATTTAGTTTTACAATTTGATAACACGGTTAGATTTTGAAGAATCAATGCTCCTAAATCTATCCAACAGTCTCTCTCGAGTAATGTTGAACATACTCTCATATACCACCCAACTATATCTCTATAATGGATGCAAATATATAAGAATGCATGTGGTTTTGTGAACACTTAAAAATTCATGCAGGGTATAGCGATATATCTCTATCCCTATCGGACCCTACGATGATTTATACCCTGTCGAATCTATTTTCCTTCTCTTGAATGCATGAAATAAGTTACCAAACTCACACAAATTACATTAGGAGTGGGCGCAGTCCGGTTTCAAAGGGAATTGAATCGAACCAAATACCAATGAAAATTTTAGAAATACAACCATTGGTTCCATAGTTAGCTATTGAACCGAACGGGAATTGAATCAATCGGTTTCGATTCAATCCGGTTCTTTATATTGAAAATGCCAAAATAAATTGTTCACTAATAAAAAATTTAAAAATGTTACAAAAGTGATGCTTTTAACAAAATATAGAAGAATCGAACATGCTATTCAAAGATTTATTTAGGTATAGATTTACAAAGTAAAAACAAAATAAAAATTTCGCATCTTAGAAATAAAATT